GGTTAGCTGCCATGGTGGGGAGGGTTAGCTGGGTGGGGGGTGGCGCAAGGTGGAAGTTTCGCTTAGGGCACAAAACTTCCTTGCACCAGCCCTGCCGAGGTCTGTCCCGGCACTGAAGGAAGCTCAGAGGGGCCGGGCTGGATCCCACACCTTTGTTCTAGGGCTTGGGCTCCCCTCGGCAGCACCAGGGCCAAGCACGGCTTGATCCTGCGGCGAAAGCACTGTGCGCTTTGAAGGGTCAGCCCTGTGGCCGGCGTGAGCCCCCAGCCTCACGGCCTGCCTGGTCCTCTCGCCAGAGACGTGCCCGGGCTGGGTTGTGGAGCTGGCAGCTGGCACAGTGTGGATGGGCAGTGAGAAATGGGGGTGTGGGACACATGTAATATAGAGGGGGCCATCCTGAAGGAGATGGGGTTTCATTTGGTGCATAGCGCGGGCACCAGCACCGGAGAGGGGCTCCCCGTTTAGGTGCGTCTGCACTGCCAGTCTCAGCCCCCCAGGTCTCCAGACTCGGTTCGTGCTGTGGAGCAGGGGAGATGTTCCCGCTCGGTCTCAGAAACCCGGCTGCGGGGTGGGGCTCAGAGCCCGGGCTCAGGCCGGGGCGGGAACGTCTACACGGCTCTTTTTCACCCCGGAGCGCCAGCCCCGCGAGCTGGAGTCAGTTGCCCTGGGCTCGCAGACCCAGTGCAGTGTAGACGTCCCCTTGGAGCAGCCACTTAAATACTCGGTGCCTACAACCAACTCTGGGTAGAGCGTCCCTCGGACAGCCAGGCCATTGGCCCGGTCACTGAGAATGAGGACAGGCAGTGCAGGAGCCTAGCGTCTGGCACCCCCGGCTCCAAATGCAGCCGAGGTGCTCAGCACCTTTGAGGAACAGACCCCAGATTGCCCCTGGGGCTGGGTGCCCACAATGCCCCTGGGGGGCTGCTGCGTTTGGCAGTGACTCTTGGGGGGCCCTGCTGGCTACGGAGCCCCTTGGAGGGACTGGCCGTTACTGGGCAGGAGATGCGCTGCTCGCTCCCGTGCGAATGCCCATCCCCCATGCCACCCCCTCCAGCTCCCCCAAAGCCCTGAGTGGGGGGAAGCTTTGGAGCACCCCCACCTCTGCCCTGGAGTCACCCCCCCCACCTCCTGCAGCCCCACTCAGCCCTCCCCCACACCATCACATACAGGAAGGGCTCCAGGGTGGGGTCAGAGCGGGGGGTTGCAGCAGAGGCCTGCCCAGGCCCCCCTGCTGGGAGGGGGGGGGCTGCTGAGGTTGGGGTGTGTGGAAGATGCCCTGAGGGCAGATGGGGGCGCCCTGTGGAGGGGACGCATTGGTGCGCAGCAGGGGAAGGGAGAGCGTTGTGGAGAGGAGTGGGGTGGTCAGGGGGATGGGGATTTTGAGGGGCTGGAGAGAGGGAGAGTTGGACTGATGGATGGGGGGGTAGATTGGGGGGGCAGTGGAACGAACGCTGGCTGGATGTTGTATGCAAACATTCGGGAAGCCCTGGGGCTCTACACTGACCCCTGCAGGCGGCCGTGCGGCTCACACCATATTCAGCGCCCCACCCGGGCAGGCACGGTCGTGGGGTGCACGAGGGCTGGGGTCTCTACCCCGGGGAGGGGGAAGCTGCCCTGACCCCCCCACCAGAGAGGATACAGTGTGCTGCGATCCCGGTCCAGCCCGAAGGAGCTGCCTGCTAGAATGTCCCAGGCATGGCGGAAGGGCAGGGGGGTGAAGTGTTTCCATCCTGGAGGCTGGGCCCCACCGGGTGCCTGGCGTGTACAGACAGTGTGTGAATGGTGAGGGGCCCTGTTCTGACCCTGCTCCCCCCGAGCCTAGCGGGAGTTGGGGGTCGTCTCCTGCGGGGGCGGGGCGGGCCGTGTGGGGCAAACCAGACGCACCCTTCAGCTGGGCTTTGGAAACGTCTCGCTGAATTTCAGCTGGCTCTGCGCCCGGATGGCCCGGTGTCTCCATGCCAGGACTGGGAGGGAGTGTGGTTAGTTCCCCCTCCCGTGTGGGCGCGGTGGGACAGCCTGGATGTGGGGAGCTGCCCTGTGTAGACAGCCAGCCCTAGCGCTAGGCCCACTTTGGTCCCCTTCGGCCGGGCTGGCATAAGAGCAGCTCTCCCGTGTCCAGGCCCCGACGGGCCAGGCTCGAGATTCTTATCGTTACTTAATTTATGATCATTTAAAGTCAATTGTTGAATTTTTCAGAATTGAACGTTGGGGTCTGACTCTGTTCCCAGACGTGCCAGTGTCCGTTCTCCTCCCCTCCCGCATTGCGAAGGCAGCTTGGGGGACGATCGGCCCCCCGGCTTCCTTCCCAGCCAGCGTCAGAGTGGGAGGGGGGGTTTCCTTTGGCACACCCGCGCTGTCAGAGCCTGATCCTTTCCCTCCATCCCACAGGTCAACGCCGGGAAGTCGGCCCCCCACCCCGGCAACATTTACTTTCAGAACGAAGGCTACAGCGACCTGGGAGACACCACGCCGGAGAGCTCCGGGGGCTGGGTGGCCCAGGCCGTGCCGCCGGGGAAGAGCGAGCCGGCTGAGACCAGCAAGGTGAGCCCCCTAGCCAACTCCGTGGAGAAGGCCCATGGCTTGCCGGGAGCACGGAGCGGGGCAGGGTTAGCGCCCACGGAGAAGGGAGACAGCGCCGCGGCGACGCTCCCCAACGGGCAGACGTTCGAGCCGTCGGGGTGTAAGGATGCCTGCCAGGAAGACCAGGCGCCACCCAGGAAGTGCAGCACCAGCGCAGAGCCCGGCGCCGAGGAGGGCACCGCAGAGTCCCAGCCAGCAGGGGAGAAGGAGGAAGAGCCCCCACCGCACGACGCTCAGCTGGGCAGCCAGGAAAAGCAAACAGAGGCTGGGGCGGGAAGCCAGGAGACGGAGGTGGGGGCGAGCAAACCTTTGCAAGACAAGCCGCAAGCCGCTGCAGGCCAGGGGGACGCAGGCTGGAGTGAGCAGGAGCCGCTAGCCAACCCCGCCAGCCAATCCCTGCCTAATTGCACTGCCAGCGAAGGGGACTCTCCGGCCGAGGGGGCCCAGGCGACTAGCCAGAGCGCCGCTCCCTCCAGTGCCCGCCACGCCGACGCCAGCCACACAGACGCCAGCCTCCAGCCCCCAGCCCCGAGTGGGCAGCACGAGCCCCCGCCCAAGCTGCCGGTGCTGGAGGAGGTGAGCGAGGAGACGCTGGAGGAGGATGGCCCCAATCCCGGAGCACCCACGTACCAAGACCCCCTGGCGCCCTTGCCCATCAGCGACGTCCGCATGCCGGTCACGTTGATGCAGCTCCTGGAGGATTCCATAGAGTGTTAGCCCATCCAAGAGGGGCGAGCGCCTCGGCCGCACGGAGCCGAGCCCAGCACAGAGACGGTGGCTGGCGACCGGAGCCAGCCCTCCTGTAATGCCTGGAGAAGGGTGGGGGACCCCTCTCCCCGTTCCACAGCGCTAGAGTAAAGTCCAGCGTCCCACACGGTACCGAGGCCTGGTGCGGCACAGGTCGGAGCTTCCTGTGTCTTTCCCCAAAGTCCCTGGCCGTGGCACGCCTGGTGTGGCTACAAAGGAGCCTTTGACCTTTCTGGTTTGTAAAGAGACGTTTTTTAACGCAGGGCTGGGTGCGTGGTTTGTGCGAGGTTCGCGGTTCGCCGAGGGCTGTCAGCTGTCCGAGCTGATCCTGGAGTCTCCGGGAATTAAAGATTAGTCTGTTGTGTGATGAAACCTCCAGGAATACAGCCAACCAAAACTGGCAACCCTACATTTGCCCCATCTGTGTCCAAATTGCCCGCCCGCCCGC